TATATATATATATATATATATATATATATATATATATATACATTGCCTTGCGAAAGTATTCAGCCCCCTTGAACTTTTCAACCTTTTGCCACATTTCAGGCTTCAAACATAAAGATATAAAATTTTAATTTTTTGTGAAGAATCAACAACAAGTGGGACACAATCGTGAAGTGGAATGAAATTTAGTGGATGTGTCAAACTTTTTTAACAAATAACAAACTGAAAAGTGGGGCGTGTGTATTGCTGTGTGTACAAAAAGCAAAAGTAAAAGCATTCAAAAAGTAAAACCTTTGATTGAAATATCATGGGCTTTTTTATGCTGTTCTACAGGAACAATTACTACAACAAATAATTGTCTTTGTGGAGGAAAAGATGCTGTGTTGTCATGAGACCAAACACAGGAAGAATAAGTGACAATTTATACCTTTTAGTGTGTTAAAAAATAATTTATTAAATATTTTTCTACTCATCTCTAACAGCCAAGCACCAAATATTAATATGCCTTAAATGCAGCAGATAAATAGATGCCACACTGGAAACTCTGTTTTAGTTATATTATATTTTAAACCCTCAGTGGATCTTTGACACATCAGCAACAACAAGACTTTGGAAACTACTGCCATACATATAGACAAACAGCGAACAAAACCTACATTTCCCAGGATGCAAAGCAGCGGACTCCGAGTTGAAAGGTCGTAGACGTCAAACTCGTGCTGCCTGAAAGCGACATCCACACATAAATAATCTGTTACAGCGTAAAGAGCTGTGATTCTTTTTTGTCTGAGTATTTTTGTTGCTTGTTTTTGATCAAAAATGTCCGGAAAGGCTAAGGATATCTTACAGTTGGACCTGTATGGTTTACTCGGTATAGAAAGCGTTGCTACAACGAAAGAGGTACCACAAATTCATTATTATAATTATACGATTTGCTTGATAGTGGTTAACAAACTGTTAAAAACTGGTTATGCTCTTTAGTTGTTGTTTTGTTGCCTCAACGGATGAACTATAAAAGGCTGCAGGGTGGCGACATTTTTGTTTCTGAGTGGAAGGCTAATGATGCAGCTCGTTACATGCTAGTGTTTCTGTGTTTGTATCGTGTAAATCTGTTGTCTAACGTAACCATACACGATTATATAAAACGATACAAGTGTCGTACATATAATATGAAACGAAAATATTTTATTTTAGAAGGATCTGACACGTATTAAAGACTCTAAAGTAGACCAACTTGCTAAAGGCTAAAATGTTCCGGTGTAGTACACCAAAAGAGCCACTAGATGGGGATGTTGCATCAGGCAGCTGCTTGTATGCAATGCAGAGCTCTATCTAAATTAGCGCATGCATTAAATTAATCAGTGAGTTTATGTCTATACTGCCATATCTGATCTCATTTAGGCTGGAGGCGGAGATGTGAAGTATTATATTGCAGTGGGCAGAGGATTAACAAAATGTTTTAATGTGTGCTTGCTTCTGGTTAGCAAAAAAATAAAATAAAAATTACCATTTTTCTTTTAAATTAAGTATTCCCCCCCCACTATCCCCCCCAATTCCCAAATCCTGCCTCTTTCCTACAACCAGCTCTCTATCAAAAAGCCACTGGCCCAAAGGGAAATTAAAATTGCTGCCAAAACAAGGGAAGAAGTTAATTTCTTAATTTGATTTCAAAGTGTTCCACTCCCTGGAGGATTATCCCTGAGGAAGTCAGTGGTTGTGACCTGGGCTGAACCAACGTTTCAAAATTGAGAGGTCTGCTTCTGTGAGGTCTGGTGATGGTTGAGCAAGATAGTGGATTTGTGTGTATGTGTAATGCATTAAATCACCAGGGCTTACAAAAATCTATCTAATGTGTGAAGACGAATGCCATCACATGGAACACTTCTCCCAGTCGTTTGGCTTGCAGCACCATCACTTCCTTTGTCAAGCTGTGAGTTACAGAGAAAGGGAAGCAACTCATCTGAGAGCCTGTTTATGTGGGTTTAGTCTACGTAAAAGCCGTGTTTTACAGCTTGTAAAATATTGCTTTGACGCAAGAATTTTTCATTTTGCGCATTTCCTCAGGATTTTGTGTTTTTAGTTTTTTGTTATCAATGCTGCTGGCCTTCCTCTGCCCTTGTCTGTCTGTCTTGGAAAATGACTTATTAGAGTTTATGATTTAATCACTGCAAATGACTGAGGTTTGCTTTATTGTAGCGCTGAGGAATAGCTACCAGAGTTTTACCTACCACAGATTGCTTGGTAAAACAATGTCAACAGCCAAGACCACACAAAATTTCCTGTGGTTTATTTAGCTACTACATTTCTAATATAAATATTGCATAATGGGTTGCAGTAAACACTAAAACATGCTGTGATGATTTATTCTCAATCAGAACATACAAGTGCACCATAGCAGCTTATTGCAAACACATGGCTCTTAATTATGGGCTATATTTTCTAGGATTTGCTCAGTTTGAGCAGGTAGATTATTGCATCCAACAGCAATCAGTGACACATTAAATACAAATTTCTGTCTTTTTTGCTTATCGTTTTTGTTAGTTCAGCTATCCTTTCGCCTTCTGTTTTCCTGTTGGGCACAACTTTTCAGCTGATAATGTCATGTAAATAGCTCAGCGTTGCAATTAGGAAGGATGAGCTCATGCAGATCTGGCAACTTAACAGCCTCATTGGCTAGATGCCCTTGGAGCTGTGCTGTGGCTTTACCAGGATCAATTTGTCAGCTACAATTTGGGCACCAAAGCTCGGTAATGAGGACAAGATGTGTGTGTACAGTTAGGACAGTAGCAAGAAGTGATGAGAGGAGTGCATAGTCTGTTTTTTTTATACCATGCGTTAACCATTAAGCTGCTGTTGACCTGCTGCTGCAGGATAGTTATTTTTCTTGACTTTGTGGCTCCTTCTTTCACAAATCAAAGTGTAGAAAACGTTTGAGAAATTTCCTCCCTTCAAACTTTAGTAAGTGCTCCCTTCACACGTGACATGAACTATTAAGACGTGACGAGCGAATATCCTGAATTACTAGGTGTAAAATGCAATGCAAAACTAGAGAAATTGCATTTCCTGTGAAAATGCAGTGACAGTGCTTATTGCAGAAGAACTTGCTGAGAAACGGCTGAAATGAGCTAAAATACCTGCTGAAATGTAGCTGAAATGGAAGAACAAGCCTAAAATAGCAGAAGAAAGCAGAAAGTGCACATTTGTTCAACCTTTTTTATACAGGTTAGTCTCATTGAGCCTCGAGGACTCATTTACAATTTGCTGAAATTGGTTTAAATATTGGGCAGCACGGTGGCGCAACTGGTAGAGCTGCTGCCTCTCAGCAAGCAGGTCCTTGGTTCAAATCCCGCTCCGGGGGTCTTTCTGGGTGCATGTTCTCTCCGTGCATGCGTGGGTTTTCTCCGGGTGCTCCAGTTTCCTCCCACAGTCCAAAAACATGCATGTTAGGCTGATTGGTAACTCTAAATTGTCTCTAGGTGTGAGTGAGAGAGAGAATGGTTGTTTGTCTCGTTTGTCTCTATGCGTCCCTGTGATGGACTGGAGACCTGTCCAGGGTGTACCCCGCCCCTCACACAGTGATTGCTGGACATGGGCACCAATGACCTCTGTGACCCAAAATGGAAGAAGCGGGTAAAAGATAATGGATGGATGGATGGATGGATGGATGGATGCTTTAAATATTCAGAAATTTGCAGAAAAAAATAGAACAGTAGCTAAAAAAAAATGGTTGATAAGTAGCTGAAAGGCAGAAAGAAGCTTAAACTACCAGAAGGAAGTGGAAAGAGCTGAAAGGAGCTAAAAATGTGGAATTAACTGAAAAAGCTAAAATTAGCATAAAACAGCTAAATAGTAGTTAAATAGCAGAAATAGCTGAAACTAGCATAATTATGCTGAAAAGAGCATAACAAGCTGATATCAACAGAAATAAGTTAATTAGTCTGAAAGTAGCCAAAATTACCATGAAATGCATGACTATCTGAAAACAGCTGAAATAGCTAAAAAAAAAAAGTAAAAACAGTTGGTAGAACAAGCTTAAATTAGCAGAAGAAAGCAGAAAGAACACTTGTTTGCCTAATTAGGCTAAAACCAGTAATGATCACAAAAAGTGGAAATTATCTGGGAAAAAGCAGAAATTAGCAACAAACAGCTGAAAAGAAGCTAAAATAAAAGGAGAAAGAAAGAAGCTTAAATTAACAGAAGGAAGTGGAGCACATTTTTGCAGAATTAGGATGAAAAAAGCTTAAATGAGTTTAAAAAATGTGAAATAAGCTGAAAACCCTCAAATTAGCATAAAACTGTTAAATAGATGCTGAAATAACTGAAACTTCTATAAATGAGCTGAAAGGAGCATAACAAGCTGAAATTAGCAGAAAGAAGTTAGAAGAAGCACAAACATGTTGTAGTTAACAGAAAGAATCTGAAAAGAGCACAAAACAGCTGAAAGTAGCTGAAACAAAGTTTTAATTTGCACAAGGAAGCTGCAAGAAGCTGAAGCAGAACAAAATGTGAAAGGAGCAGTAAAATGTTGTAAACGCATCTAAAGAGCTGAAGGATGTAAAATGAGCTCAGTTCATTTTCTGAGAAAAAAAAAATGACAGAAAAGGGTAAATAGTTCAAAAAGCTAAAGTTGCACCAATACATAGCAGCCTTCTCCTGAAAGAGCTGAACGTTTTGATTTATGAATTGCTGAAGTAGCTTGAAAACTGCAGAACGAGAATCACGCCGAAAAACATAAGGAAGAAAAATGGCTCACAATAGTGTGAATGCTTCATAAACATTCACACTATAATACTTAGATGTTTTTATGAGTTTCTGAGCTGAATATAAAGATTACTTTGATGAAATGCATAAAACCCCTGACTGAACTGATTTTGTTTTTGAAGAGTTCCTATCATCACGCGCTATCATCTTTAAATTCTCGGCTGTTTTGGTTTTGGACTTTGCTTCAAGCATCAGTTAAAATTTGAACGTTAACGCAACGAGCGGAGAAATTGTGCATTTATAAAAATACAGACAGTGACACAGACTGCTCGCAAACAGGATATAATGAAGCACGTCCACTGGACAGAACAAGAAAGAAAATGAGGAATGTATGAAATGAGATAAAAATGTATAAGTACTTGCAATATGAGGAAAATCAGACATTATAATGTTTGACCATTTGCTAATAAGAACCAGTCATTAAGTCGTACTCAAACAGCAGTAAACCACATAATTAGTTGAATCTTCATGTTAATTTAACTAAACCATGATATATTTACACGTGTCAGTTTTATCATTAAATCACAACATAAAAAAAAAACGATGAAAATTACATTTAATTTAGGTCAAATAAGGAAAAGTGCAGGACGCCTTTTTGAGATTCGTTTATTTCTGATCAGATATAGTCGTGAAAAACTGTTACGCTGTTAAAAAAAACATATTTTCTTCTGCACTTTGAGGTATTTAACATTCTTGATGATTTCACCCTCATAAAGCACACATTTTATTGCTTAAATTGTATTATCATGGCTAAACTTTAAACGGAGGTAACCCAGACATCCTGCTGTTTTTTTTTCCAAGATATCTTTTCTGCACAATCCCCGAACAGTCATAGAAATCTGTTGGGTACGTTGGTACTAAGAAGCTGTTTCTCTTTTCTCTGAGTTGTAAAAGGTGGTTGTACTAGTGTCACTTGTCATGCATCAGTTTTTATAATATCTGTTCTTGCTTTGTTGCTGGAAAGTTAGATTATTGGTAAAAAGGGAAGCAACAAAAACTCGTTTTCAAGTCCTTGTGTATTACCAAAAGACGTTTGGGCTATTTAGACAGAGCTGTGATTGGATTTATATAAAACGTTAAAGAAAAATGAGAGAGAGGCTAAAAAAGGAATTGGATTGAGGCCAACTGTTAGCATACGAGTCTGGCTTCAGTCCACGGTCCTGCGTGTCAATCTTCATCTCAAGAACAGTTCGTGTGCCAAGCCGAGAGACTAAATCTCCTAATAACGTCTAGTCTCTCGAAGCCCATTCACCCATTCTCATGTATGTTTTGAGCTGTAATTTTAAGAAAAGACACGCAATGTTTAGAAGCTGCCTGAGACAATTATCTGAACAGGGCCCATGAGGCTCATTGAAGTCGTATAATTGTGCCGAGGCTTAGCAGCCGAATCTATCAGAGTTAGCTGTCGTGGAGATTGATTTGAAAACGTTTTAAAGGCTACATCTTACGGGTCACTTTTTCAGTCTGATCAGTTTTCTCAGCGTTATGATTTGTTTACCTCCCTGTAAATTCAATTCCGTGCACTTTTGCTCTGTAAAGATAAAGTTTCAGCTTCCTCACTGGGAAATGCTGCATTTGCCAGAAAATGAATGCAAATATGTCCCAGCCATTAAAAAAAAAA